CCTTTCTTCAACAGGACTCCAAGAGCTCAGCCCAGTGCTTGGCTATGGATTTCCAAATCTGCTTCCATCAGTTACTGGATGAATGTTGTCTAATGACAATTAGGATAGTCACCAATCTGATTACAGGAAAAGGTCAATTCAGGCATCCTCTCCACTATTACTGGGAGTCTTACCTGGGGTCATCCTTGTGGATTCTGGGGAGTTTCCCTGGCACCAAGTTTCTCCCTAATCCCCAAATGCCTATTCCATTAAGATATACCTTTCATTATTCTATGGCTGATTTTTTTAAAGGTGGTAAAGCTTATGGGAAAAGCAAGGAGCAGAAGACCAAGAGTTTTGGCTTGATTCTATTTGGCTCTGCTCCCTGAAAAGTTATTGCTATAACCATCCAAAGAGAGAAGAAATGTTCAGAAGGGATTTAGGGGGAAATTAGGAAAGCAAAGCCTCTAAATTTATCCCTGTCTCTGCAGAAATTACTCTGACTATAGCTGTTAGAATTGGGCAAAGGCAGGTGGGTCATTGTAAGGAGAGATAACTTTGATTTTCCTTTTGGATTTTTGTGGAGTCATCCCAGCATTTAAGGGAGTAAGCCAAGAGATTTGAGTGGCACTTTTGGCGTTGAGGGAGAGAGCCATCACAGACTCCTGACAAGGGCTGCAGCCTCTCACTTCTTTCTTGATAAAGACTGTCCTATGAGTCCTCATGCAGTGGCTACGCACTGTGTGCACAGGGGTCAACATTAGGAAAGGGCCACAGACGTTACTGAAATGAGTGTAAAATAATTCTTAAAATTAAGAATGCTTTATATTTTGTATATTGGGATTTATTTTTTTTCTTAATTAAGTTTATTTATTTTACATCTGGGCCACAATTTCCCCTCCCTCCTCTTCTTCCAACCTCCTCCCACCTCCTCTCTGCCTGTCCCTCCACCCCCCATCCACTCCTCCTCTGTTTCTATCAGAAAGGGGCAGGCCTCCTATGGGCATCAAGGAAGCATGGTATATCACGTTGCAGTAGAACTGAGCTCCTTCCCCTGCATTTCAGCTGGGCAAGGCAACCCAGTATGAGGAACACATTCCCCAAAGGCCACCAAAGCATTAGGGGTAGCCCCTGATCCCACTGTTAGGATATCCACAAATAGGCTCAGCTACACAATTGTCAGTAGGTGTAGAGTGCCTAGGTCAGTCTCATGCAGGCTTCCTGGTTGTTGGATGAGATTCCATGAGCACCTGCGAGCCCAGGTTAGTTGATTCTTTGGGTTTTCTTGTGATGTCCTTGAGTCCTCTGGCTCGTGCAATCCTTCCTCCCACTCCTCAGCAGGATTCCCCAAGATCTGCCTAATGTTTGGCTGTGGGTCTCTGCATCAGTTTATTGTATTTCTAACACAGCTCTAAAATTAAAGCAGAAGATACTGCATAAGATGTGGATGTGTTTTATTTCTGCTGCTATGAAAGGCAAGAAATGGGTAAGTTCATCTATTGGAGATGTAGCTTCAGTGTTTTCATCTTGCCATATAACTGTTCCTATGGGATATTTAAAACATGCCTGACACACACACACAAAAAGTTTTCTTATAAATATTTGTTGAATGACAGAATAAAAAGTAACTGATGCTAACTTAGGAAAGGGAGCAAATCAGTGATTAACTTCAAACACTTTGACTTGATTCTTTCCTATGAGTCCCTTTTTCTGAATCTCTCTCCATCTTTGCTCCCCTTGCCAATTCACAGCTTATGCTAATTGATTTTAAAAGAATTCAGGTTTTTTTTGTTTTTAAACCAGTGGTGCTATATTTCCATAAATCCATATGGGAAAAACATATTGGCAAAATTTGTTTGAATGTATGGAATCCAGTATTTGAGTCATAGGATTTTTAAATCACCAGGTTTAAAGAATGCACACAGAGACCAATATATGCCTTTTACATTATACTACTTGTCAATGAGGATTCCTGGGAAGAAGCTGTGTCTTCAAAGACATCTGATTAGAACTACAGTGATGTGGAGTGGTTGGAATATTCCAGGTCTAGAGGTTAATTACCCAATCTGGGTTAGCTTTAGCCCCGTGACTAGCCAGCTATTCTTTGTCTGCCTCTGTTTTGGACAACCTATCACTAAAAGATGAAGGGTCTTTTGGATTCTACTAACTTAGCAGACAACTAGTTTTCACAAAACTAAAAGCTAAAAATGTCACCAATTAGCATCCAAGGCCTATAGGAAGCTCTTGCTGTAACTGCCTCTCAGATGTACCCAGAATGTATTTTAAAATTGTCTGGACTTATGACTTTCTTCGTTCTGTGGAACTGTAAAATCCATGAAACTGCTTTCATGTTGGGACATAAAACTGGGGTAACAAAATCTGTGTCTCAGGCCAGATTCCCTCAAATTTGACACCAGAATAAAATGAAAAAGACAACTCTTATAAAAAACATTTAATTGGGGCCTTGCTTACAGTTTCAGAGAGTAGTCTGTTATTATGGCAGGGATTATGATATCACACAGGCAGACATGGAGAAGAAGATGAGAGTCCCTCATCCTGATCTGCAGGCAGCAGGAAGAGAGAGACTGAGCATGCCATAGGCTTTTGACACCTCAAAGCCCATTCCCAGTGATACACTTTCTCCAACAAGGCCATCTATCCTATTCCTTCCAACCCTATAAAACAGTTCCACTCCCTGGTGACCATTCTTATCCATATTACCACACCAGGTAAATTCAAGCATGACAAAAGAGAACCTGAGTACATGAGAAAAAGCTCTCCATCTCCCCATTATTTTATGTTTTGCCATTGTCAAATGTTAACCACATCCCAGATAAGATAGGATAGGATAAGATAGTCTACAGGGCCATTACCACATATTAGAACACACAAGTTGTGAAAGGCATACATAATATTTTAATTTGGATTTTATAAATTATAAAAACCACAGGGGATGAATTATATTTCAAAACATGTTTTTGTTTTTTTATAAAATATCAGAGGTGAACTTTTTTTGGTACTGCAGTGGGATAGATACAAAAAGAAAAGTAGGGAATGGATCTTGGAGGAAAGAACCATGCCCCCCAGGGAGGAAGGCCATTTGATCTTCCTTGGTCTGGCACTCTATTTTTGCCTGACCTTTGAGGCACTTCGGGCATATCTGGCCCTTCTCTCTATCTCCCTTCACCTTTCTTAATTATTAATGAAATGAAACAAATAGCCATAAAATGTTATGTTTCTCTAACAGAAATGCAAGTCCAATAGTAGAGGTTTAACAAAATAACAGATTTTCCTAATAATCCAATCTCTAGAATATTTATTAAATATTGAGACTTATAAGGAGACAACTAAACACTTCTAGAACTTCCTCATATTATATTTCCTTATGAGTCACTAAAGTATGAAAATCTAACTTTTCCTGACATTCCTAAACTCTATTTTTTAAATAAAATATATAAAATATGTACAAACATAGTGGCAAGTTGGGTTTATTTAAGGAAAAGTTATATTTTAAAGAATAATTAATGAATAAATAAGCTGAAATTTAGAATGTTTTTATTTGTGGATCACAAAGCTGTATTTATTTTTATTTAATTTTTTGCCACACAGTATATTTTAATCATGTGCTTCCCTCACCCAACTCTTCACATGACCTTCCCACTTTCCTACCCACCCATCTTTATATTCTTTTATTCCACATGTCTTTCCTAAATAAAACAAAATCAAGAAACAAAAATGAAAGCAAAAAAATCCCCACAAAAACAAAATAAACATAAACAGGTAAAATTATCATAAGCAAAAAATTCAAAACCAGAGTGAAACAAAATAAAAAGTCCATAAGAATACCACTGAGTTTATTTTGGGTTGGGCAGCTTCTTCTGGGCATGGGGCCTGCCCTGGGATGTCATTGATATTCTCAGTGAAACTCCAATGGAGAATACTGTGTTTCACTTTGCTAGTGGCTATCAGTTGCAGATAGTTGGGGATGGTCTGGACCTGTGTCCACTACCCTCTCAATGTTGGGTGTGGTGATATTTTATTTGTATGTTAATAAATAAATTTTGTCTGGAGATCAGAGGAAATAGCTAGCCATTTCAAGTAAACACAAAAGTCAGGCACTGGTAGCACATAGCACACCCTTAATCCGATCACTTGGCAGGCAGGATCTTTGTGTTCAAGGCCATACTAGGGAACAGAGCCAAGCATGGTGACACATGCCTTTAATCCCAGTACCAACCATAGAGACCTGGAGGTCTGTACAGACAGGCAGTGACAAGGAAGTGAGGTAGCTAGGCTAAGAGCCAATGAGAGGGCAGCACAGCAAGGCAATAAAGGCAGGGTAGACAGGAAGCAGGCACTTTGGAAGTTGTGGCTTGGTGAAGTAAGGTTAGCTGGTAGCTATTCCTATTTCCCTGATCTCGAAGGCTTTCACCCCTATATTTGGCTCTGTGTTTTTTATTTAATAAGACTGCTTAGAAATTTGTCTAGAGTTGGGACCCAGTCTAGACTGAACCTCTAAAGCTCTTGTGTATGATGTCACAATATCTCTGAGCTCACATGTGTGTCAGCCCTGTTATATCTAGAAGACACTGTTTCTTGAAGTCATCATTCACCTCTGGCTCTTAACAATTTTACCACCTCCTTTTTTACAAAGTTTCTTAAGGCATGATGAGAGGGGTCTGATGAAGATATACAATTCAGGACTGAGTGCTGCAGAATCCCTCACTCTCTGCACACTGTCCAGATGTGTGGGTCTCTGTTAATTTTCATCTACTGCCAGAAGAAGCTTCTCTGATATGGGGTGACCAAGGAACTGATCTACAGGTACAGGAATATGTCATCGGGAGCCATTTAATTTGCTATGTCCCTTTAGCAGAATATTATTAATTTTACTTCCAGGTCCATGATCTATCTTGACTCAGATTCTTGGTTTTTTTAGTACTTTCTAGTATAGATTTCATCAAATGGACTGGGCCTTAAATCTGATTAAAAATTGGTAGATTACTCCCATAACATTTGTTCTACAACTGTGTATCATTATATCTTAGAGGCAGGTCACTATTGTAAGTCAGAGGATGGTATTGATGATTACCTTTCTCCCCAGTAGCAGACAGAGTACCTTTCAGCACTGTGACTGCTAGTCCATAGGGGTGAAATTTCTAGTTATGCACCAGCTCAACTTATCCATGTTTGGTGACATAAGTGTTATCCTCAGCAATAGGGCCTGCCATAATGTTGTGGAAATAACAAATAGTCTTGGCAATAGTCTGTGATGTTTGGGGGTTTCCATGGAACCCTTTTGGCCAATGACTTAAGATGTAAACCATTCCTGGCAGTGTAGTTTTTACTTGATGGTATGAGATACCAAATTTGTGCCTTCTCTTGCTCATTGTATGATGACTCCATTTAGATTCTTTTCATATTCATATAAGGAAGTGTCTACAATAGTAGATTTCCATGCAGTTTTTCAAATGCCCTTTAATGGTAGTTGTCTCTTCCCATATTCTCTCCTTTTCCTATCCCCATTTCTATTTAATCCTCCTGTTCTATTTTCCCCTTTATCTCTCCATAACACTAGATTCTATATCCTCTTCTTTGGGAGATTTTTTCCACCTTGGTCTCTTACTACAATAATTAACAGTTGCAGTTATTCGGAATGTATCACATATATTGAAAGCTTAAAAACTAACATCCATATACAAGAGAAAATGTAATATCTGTCTTTTGAGGTCTGGATTACCTTGTGAGCGATGTTTTTTGTCTTTTTTCCTAGCTCCATCCATTTATCTTCAAATTTCATAATTTCCTTTTTTTCTAAACAGCTGAATATATTCCTTTGTGTAAATGTATCACATTTTCATTATTCATTCCTCAGTTGATGGACATCTAGGCTGTTTCTAATTTTGGCTATTATGAATAGAGCAGCAACAGATATGGAAATGCAAGTATTTCTTTAGGAGGATGTAGATTCCTTTTGGGCAAGAATGCTAAAGAGTAGTATATCTGGATCTTGAGATAAATGGAGTTTCATTTTCTCAAGGAACTGTTACACTGATTTTCACAGTGGATCTACAATTAATTTTTACTCCCACCAGCAATGAATAAGTGTTCCATTTTCCCCACATCCTCATCTGCATGTGCTATCATTTTGTTTGACTAATCTTGGCCATTCTGACTTGTATGAGACAAAATCTCAAACTGGTTTTAATTTGCCAATTGGAGTGGCACATGCCAGTAGTATATGCTGAAAAAGCTCATGAGTTAGAGAGATTTTTTTATATTCATATTTTATAACCATAATATATGGATACATACATGTCACCAGTACATACATATATATAATTAAGCTTAATTAACCCAGAAGTTATGGTGACACAAATTACTTTTTATGGGATAGCAGCAATGGACTCCTGAGAGTTTCAAACATGTTTGGCTTTATTAATGTACATACTTATATTACAAGTATGGTATTGGGTGTGGTGGCTCATTACTGTAATCCAAATTCTTAGACAATTATCAGGAGGCTAAGTCAAGCTGAGGTTATATACTGAATTCTGGTGTAGCCTAGAGTACAGACTGAGGAGCTCTTATAAAAAAAATAAAGAAAAACAAAAAGTGGTGAATAAAAATTATTAAAAAAATTTAAAAAGAATACAGTATTAATTAAACCAACCTGGACTGACTTCAAAGTGGTAAGTCAAAGAAACAATTTCTATAGAATGTATTATTCAGTTTGTATGAGGTCCCTAGAAAGACAAACGTAGAGATATGGCATCAATTAACATACCTCAACAGTGAGGAAAAGGAACCTACTGACTACAAATGTAACCAGGGTATCTTCTGGGTTTGATGAAAACGCTCTAAAATTAGACTGTCATAAATACTCTGTAAAGGTGCTTTAAAAATAATTGAATCACATACTTAAATAAAAGCACAAATATTATGATATATAAGCTATACTTCAAAGAAAATTATTTTAAACATCTGTACATTTACTCTTAAAGTAAGCAAATATTTAGACTACATAAAAAAGAGAAGAAAGTATAACATGGCTTTAAAATCCTGGAAATACTTGGTTCCATGGTTCTAGACTTCATTTACCTGACTATCCCAGCAACATTCAAATAAAAGCTCCCTTTAATAATGATAATAAACTATTATTATTATTGCTTAAGACACCAATGCAATTTGTGTTCTGGAAAAAACAAACTACAGGATGGAGAATGGCCATTGAATAATCACTGCAGACATCAAGAGAATGGCTTGATCTCCAATGGAGATATAACCTTATAACCTTCAAGTGAGAGTACTTAAGACTTAGTTGCTTTTTTTTTTTTTTTTTTTTTTTGGAGCTGAGGACCGAACCCAGGGCCTTGCGCTTGCTAGGCAAGCACTCTACCACTGAGCTAAATCCCCAACCTGACTTAGTTGCTTTTTACATACCTGGTTACTAAAGACATTTACTGCTCACTAAGCCCTCTAAGCTGTTGTTCTAAAAATCTTCCTGATATTGTTGGGGAATGTTGCATCATCTTTTCTGAGGAATCAAAAGAAGCAAATACTCTAGAAGAAGTGAATAGGTATCAGGTTTTGATGTTACATGTGTAAGACTTTTCCAAATAGCACAGAAACAGGATAGAATTCTGAAGGACAGCTGGAACAAGCATAAAAACAAGCACAAAGAAAGGAAGACTTCATAGTAGTTATTTTTACCTTGGTTGAAGTGTGTAATTGTACTTGGTATTGGGAGGAATAGAATCCACAGTACTATTTTAAACAATTTACTATAGCATCCCTATACAAAGCACCAAAGGAATTACACCCACATATTTGGTATGATAGAATGTTTGAGGAGTAATTTGCTAAGAGGCATGGTGATATCCTTATATGGAAATAAAGGAAACTACTAATATGCATATTTTCTAGCATAATTTTAGACTCATATGAGCCTCAAAAAGGGGGCTAAAATAATTTCTAAAATACCCTTCTATTTTTTTAAAAGGTGATTTGATTTGAAGAGCAAATTGTTTATTGCAAAATGGAATGGAAAATAGAGTTCCCATAGACTCTTTCAAGCCTCCTCACACAACCTTCCTCACCATTACCCTGCATTAGATTGGGGCATTTGTCAGAATGCCTGATGTTATGTGAGCACTTATAATGATGGTTGATTTTAATTATCAAATTGATTAGATTAAGAGGGGCCTACAAAATTAGTGAGGCTCAATTTGAGTGTGTTTGTGATAGAACTTCCAAAGACCATTAAGTCATGAGGAGTCTGAATCAATCAATGGACTGATTAATAAGATGCTATTGAGACAATGTGGTAAGATACAGGAGATGGCATCTAGTTAGAGGAAATAAGTCATCTGAGTCGTCTATTTAGAGCCAATACATTTTTGTGGCCCCTTCTTGTATGTTCCTTTATATGCTTTCTGTATATATGTCCCTTTCTCTGCCTCCTATCTCCCAATAAGTAAAGAATGGCCTCAGCCATATGTACCTGTTGTCTAGGATCACAGAGATAAGTGACTATAAATTGAACACTTTGAAACAGTGAGCCCAAATAGTAACTCCTTCCTTTAAACTGGCATGTCAAGAACTTCAACACATAATGTGAAAACCACTACATTCATTATCATAACCAAAAGGATACATTTTAATTACATCAGCATTCACTGTTGTTGTTGGACAACCAGTGGTTCTGGCACATAGGAAATGGCATATATTCAGTATCTTAGTATTATACATACAGTTACCTACACTAAAAATCATTTTTGCTCTGTGTATTCTTCACTGCATTCTCCTCCCTGCTGATAATTACTCATGTTGTTCCTCCCTCCATATTTTTACCAGAAAATATACAGTTGGAATCATACAACATCTGCTTTTTTTCATACTTACTTCTTTCACTAACACTTTAAAGTTTCTTCCAATTATTTTCCTGGCATGGTACCTCATTTGTTTTAGTGCTGAATAATAGCCTATTGTCTGGATGTACTACAATTTATCCATTCTGTCCTGAGAGGCATTGTGATTGCCTCCAAGTTTGGGCAATTATGGAAAAAGCTGTTAAAAACATCTTCCTGTAGGTCTCTGTATGCACATAAGTTTTCAGTTCCTTTAAGTAAATTCCATGGAGTTTGAAAGCTGGATTAGATGATAAGAAATTTTTCAGTTTTGTAAATAACTAGTAAGCTCTGCTAAAATGGCTTCATCATTGTTCATTCCCTTGGGTAGGAAAAGATAGAGACCGTTACTTCAAGTCTTACAGCCTTTGGCGCTGTCAGGGCTTTGGATTTGGCTCTTTTGGATTAAAATCTTCATTAGTTGCTAATATTGATTTAATATGACATTCTATAATGATTAATCATTCATAATCTCTGAGTTTATTTGCTTTGGCACTTAGTTTGTGAGCGAGAATGTTTTATAGCTCATGTATCTATTTGGTAATCTTTACTTCCAAACACATGTTCTGAACTGCTTTGACAAGCTCCCTAATCTCCAGAACAGTCTTGCCTAGATCTTTTCAGTCATTATCTTTTGATCCAGTATAAAGTGAATACCCATCCTTTTAAGTAAATTTTTTCTTTGACTTTTTTAGAATATTGTAATGAGTACAATAAATTATTTCTGTCCCTTCTTCTCCCACTCCAACTCATGCCATAACTCATCAAATTACTGTTGTCTTCTTTGAGCGTTACTATTATATATTATTGTTGGTCTAATCTTTAGTTATTTTTGCTGCATACCCATATATAGATATAAATACAATCTGCTGAGACTATTCAGGGTTATTGTAATGTATATGTGTTCAGGGCTAA